AGCTAACGTGCTTCTTTGGGTCCAATGGCCATATTACTGTCAACTGACATATATCAAGACTTGACTGTTAGCCTGCTAAGCTTGGATATATTCCATTTTGCAAACCATTATTTGGTATAGCACATAAATTCAACCAAAAAAAACTCTTTCTTCTTTTGGAAAAAAGAATATGGGTATATTCGATTCCAGAAAACTGAATTCATGAAGGAATATGGTTTGATTCACCAACATTGTGAGTGAATCATAGCAGCCATAGAGGGAGTGAGTGAGTGAGTATGGTTTTACACTGCTTTTAGTTTTACAAATATTCCAGCAATAACATGGCGGGGGACACCAGACATGGGCTTGACACACAGCAGCCCTAGAAAGCAGCGATGGTTCTGTAATCCCAGGGCCTCTCATTTCAAATTTAACCATTATATACATAGTATGATGTGAACCCATTTACCCAGGTACACTTAATTTCCAACATTGTTTCCTGTGTCCTTAATTTCGCTCACACGCTTTACATTCTGGGCAACTATCAATGTTTGTTATTGTTAATCTCTAAGCTCCACAATATTCCAGCTATGTGACACCAGCTTGTAAGTAAGCGAGTCTGGACCAGATCATTACTTTCCATGGAGAAGGTGTGACTGTCGCCATGTTGAGGATGTGGAATTTTACCGATTGGGGTTGTTTGACATATTTTTACACTAAGTAAATGGACCTCAGGGAGGTAACTCCGAACTGTCAACTTCCTTCAACAGAAGCGAACTACTGTGCATTATTATATTGTGGTACATTTTGGAGATATTTGGTATTAATAACTCAAGATGTTATCAAAGCTGATTTTTGAAATCACCCAATATACCAACCCATAGGAAATAACTAGATATGTAACCATGGTAACATTGAATTAAAGAAATGAGATATATGGCAATATCTGTAATAGCCTACCTAGATTACAACAAACATTTACATTATGTAATAACATCACAAGGTTGGATTTAAAGAGGCATACTTCTACATGAGTGCTTCAGGCACCAGGAATCTCTCACTGTCCACTCCCCCACTGTAACCCGTGAATATTCCCACATTTTAAGTGCTGCATCCCTACTATTACAAGAAAAGTCAAACCATGTCTAACATCAAAACACAGAGTTGTCTCCAAATCTGGATATGTTCAACTTAAAACTGATACTTCTGAAAGGTTTATTTTCAAAACCAGCCAAGGATCCAACAACATCCAGCTGATGTTTGCAGAATTCAGTTAGCTTGAATATGAGCCCCAAGATGATGATATTGATGTGTCCGACTTATATTGTATTGCCGATGACGATGCACAGGTGGAACAGTGAGGTTTTCTACTGCTACGAACACAGGTCACTCCTCACCATTATCAAGGTCATATAGGCCATCGAAACGTTTTGTTTTCTACTAAATCTAGTTTAAACTTGATTCCTTGTGATAACTTCAACCCTTACTTGAGTGTAATGCAATTGAAAATCTATTTGAAGAAAACCTGTGATCTATTTGATATTAACACTGAATTGATGGAAAATGGTCACAGCAATTGCAATTAAAGTCAAATATGTTGGTCGCCCAAAGCCATGTAGTGGGTTGCAAAACCTAAATACAACCTTCCCTTCTGATACATTGCCCTGAAGCCAATCATGCAGGTCTTTGAACATCAGCTTCACACAAATTCACTTTCCATGTGTGTAATTGAATAAGACAACCTTTAAGCATGTTAAGAACTCATTGATTTGCCAATACCTGTCGTACTTTAAATTTTAACAAGCAAGCTTACTTTTGCCCTGGTTGAATACTGCTATCTTATGCTGACATTACTGTAGGTCTGCTCCAGGCTCCTGTAATGTTACCTCACAATGGCAGTGATCCAAATAAACACAATTAAGTTAGAGCATCATAGACATAGCGTTAAAGTTAAAGATTTAGGGAGCTGCTAATTTCTGAAACAGACGCAGTACTTCAAGGACCTTTCATGCTTTCGAATACATATAACGTTTGTGAATAAAAAAAAACGACTAATATTTTGGTTGAGATATCACAAACTGAAATGATTTCATGTGTATGATATCAACTTTCATTCATAGTATTTTCTACATTTTACGTTAGGGAAAATACAATTATTTTTCTAATATATTCATTCCAATATCTCAACACTGAGTAAAACACAAGAGGATAAACATTTTTGTTTTATCATAACCTGAAAAAACAAGTAAAATTTACATACACCATTGATGATTCAACCATGTCAATGTTTGAAAGGCATCATAATCAGAGTTGTCTCCCTTTGACAGCAACACCAAAGTTACAGGACTTTCCCCCAGTGTTAGTTTTCACGTCAGATTAGATGATGTGCCGTTCAAGATTATGACAACCAAGTGAATATCTTTTGCATGTATAACTGCACTTGCATTCAGCAGTGTGGGTAAAGAGCAATGGCACTATAAGAAGCAGTTCTGAAAGAATGTCACTGAAACACTGATCTTTCTTATCTAGAGAACACAATCAGGACAAAGGACACAAACGTAGACCAATGAGTTTCAATGATATCCCTACTTATTATCATGATGATGTTTACAGTTTCAGTTCACCTGGTCCTGACGACTGAGATTCAGTCAACTCTGCGTACACTTCTCAGAACATGTTGGAATACTCACTAATAAATCTAAAAACTAGATGCAAACTAAATACAACTGAGAGTTAGGAAAAACAGACAAAGTTAACTATCTGATAACTAAGTGCAAACATGGTATCTCTAAAGGCCTGATTATAAACAACCCAAGAGCTATCTACATGATCGTGATATCTAGTAGAACATAAGTGTTATTGATGAGAATGATGGCTGAATTAGGTGTGACAGTCCCTGAAGGAATCCTATTTCTTGTATGTCCACTGGCAGGTGATATAAACATAATAAACAGTTATCATCTAGCAAATAGAAGAAATTAGTTTTTGAATCATTGGTCAAAATGTACAACATTCATAAATGTATTTTTTATCACTGAAGGGGAATCATTTGAATCAAATCAGCATACTTATATTATTATAAGATTGATAATATGAAAATGATTGACTAAGATTTATTCTGAAAGGCACAAGTAATGATATCTGTTTCATTGGAAACTTAAAATTATTCTTACCCTTTTTTTGAAAAAAAAGGAAAATACAAAGAATCAAAACCAACATGCATGTATATCATTTTACAATCAGGATATAATAAGCACAACTTCTTTTCACTTCGTTTCAATTATATCAAGACAACTTGCTGCTTGGCAAGGTCTGATGTAAATATTTCCATGAAAACACAAAGAATGTGATTCCTTTAGGGCCTCTCACTGGTTGCTACCACACAATATTTAGTGAGTGAGTGAGTAAGTTTAGTTTTGCGCCACACTCAGCAATATTCCAGCTATATGACGGCGGTCTGTAAATAATCAAGTCTGGACCAGACAATCCAGTGATCAACAGCATGAGCATCGATATGCGCACCAAACACGATGACATCTGTCGACCAAGTCAGCGAGCCTGACTACCAGATCCCGTTAGTCACCTCTAATGACAAGCATGGGTTACTGAGGGCCAATATTCTAACCCGGACTTCACGGGTTCACAATATTAAGACCTTAATAAACATGATGTGGCTCTGATTAAGGTCACCACTTTTTGTTGTGGGAGTCACAGTTCCAAACATAGATAATCATGAAAAATATGAGAACCACATTAAGATTTTTATTAGACCCTAACGATGGATAACAAAATACATATGAGAAATAATCATGACAAAAACATGGATGAAAAAACATTAGCTGAAAGATCAAATCTCATCCAAAACAAATTACTGCACAATTATCACTGATACACTTAACCCATAAACTCAATTTCCATGTATCTGGTCTAGCAGGGTGATGGGTGGTGCTGACCCAAGAGGGTGTGTCAAATACCTATGGTTCTGATTACTGTGACTTGACACAAGGAATCAGGATTTGGGTCAGTAGGTAAGTAGCTGTAGGTGGTCGTCTTGTAGAACACTGGGTAAATATTAACTATGTCATGAGGCCAGGGGTCCTATTAAATACTACGGCTGGACACAAGTGGCCCTGTATTTGACATGATTCGAACACATTTATCTGTGAATGGTTGAGACCCATGTTGATAATACCTATTGTGTTAGTGATTTGGGTTTAATGCCACTTTCAACAGTATTCCAGTTAGACCATCCTACTATGCATGGAAGGCCTATTGTGTTAGTGATTTGGGTTTAATGCCACTTTCAACAGTATTCCAGTTAGACCATCCTACTATGCATGGACTGACTGACTGAGTTTAGTTTTACGCCGCTTTTAGCAATATTCCAGCAATATCACGGCGGGGGACACCAGAAATGGGCTTAACATCGATGTGCCCATGTGGGAATCCGAACCCGGGTCTGACCACCGATCCCGTTAGTAAGCCTCTTACGACAAGATAGCGCTTTTAACCACATAGGCTACCCCACCGCCCCCTACTATGCATGGAAGGCCTGATGGGAAGCTTTAACAAACATTCACAAACCAAAGAGCACAGGTAACAACAAACCCGGAAACACAATCGGTGCAAAATGGGAGTTGAACCTATGATCATAGGTTATCACTGTGCACATGTTCCATTACATACACACTACATATTCATGTACTAAGACATGATATGTACCAAGTTCCACGACCACTATTGACAATCGAAGTGTGTTTCTGTATATTAATGTGGCACTTACTACCCAGCTTTCAAACGAGGGGGAAAGGAGTAATTCATATGAAATGAACAATATAGCACTATGAGTATGACCCAGTTTGGTTCTGAGTTGTTCCAAATCCTCGTAATGCACTATTGAGCACCTGGTAAACAACTGTAACCACTATGGGTGATCCTGCTGGTCGGTGATTTGTAGCCTTAGATGTTTACAAAACATACTGCAGTGACAACACTTTCAATATAGAATCTCTAGTACATACCTGTCATCCTTGATCTCGTCTGCTGGCTGCGACATGCCACTAACTGCTGCAGCAAGGGGACTCAGAAGTGCCTGTGGTCCCGACGAATCATTTCCCACATCCCTCATTAGTTCCTTATTCGAATCATGGTCATTCGTTAAGGAAATGGACCCTGGCCGTGATATAGCGTTAACGTCCTGTCCATGCGTCACTTGCTGGGGTCCCCCCTGGCCACTATCGGGGACCTGAGAATGTACACTGTCAGGTTGATTATCAGGATTAGAAGCGTGGTTCTGCTGAGAAGCACTGACATTAATACTGTGAGTTCCAGTCTGATTTACCTGTCCATAATGTTGCTGAGCCAGTGGATTCTGGGAAACTTGGCCCTGCGACTTCTGATCAATGGACATTGATGTCATCGCGGGAAAGTTCTGGCTTTGAGGTGTGTGAGGGTCTATTGATTGCGGCGGCAAAACACCCGGACCAATATGGTTTTGGGGTAACTGCATGCCACCTTGTCCTGCACCCACATTCCCTGCCTGGGCATGCACATTTACACTCTGCCCCTTGCTCTGATGCACATGCATTGAGGGTTGTATGTTTGTAGCCATTACTGTTTGTGGTATGCTTGGTGCTGTACTGGTTTGAGCTTGGGGCACTTGCTGTATATTTGGGTGTGAAGCGACGGGTATGTGCATGGGCTGTTGCATTTGAGGATTTCCTGGTTGGATTGTTGTACCTATCTGCTGTCCAGCATTTATGGTCTGACTCTGATTTTGTATCATTGTATCAACACCAGAAGTTTTTCGTTGTGGTGGAATAGCGGTTACTGGCATAGCAGGAGCTTGACTAGCTTGGGGGGCAGGATGGATTGGTTTAAATGTTTCACCTGGATTTGGAGAAAAACTAGCAGATCTAGCATCAGAAAGATGCTGTACAGTTCCCAAGGCACCAGCAGCGAGGGGGTTCCTTGAAGGATCATCCACCCCATGCACATAATGCATGGAACTATTAGCACTATTTGTACCAGAATGAACGTGTATTTCATCGGCATGTTTTACCTCTGACTTTTCCGGAGCTGGCTGTGTGTCTAAAAAGTCATGACACAACCATCTACCACGACGAAAAGGCTCTTTAGTTTCTATTTTGACTACCCTGAACCTAGACTGGGCATCTGCTGGTTTGAAAATCTCTTCTGGAGTAAGCACAGCATCCTGTTCTATGTCAGTGGCTTTGGAGCTGTCAAGTATTTCTGAGCTGAAGTCTTCCGTATGACTCTCGTCCAGATCATCCATACTATCCATGTCTCCATCGGCGTCATTTTGTAACTCACCGCTTCCACCACGTGTAGGTTTAGTGACACTTGTTATTTTGAACGTGCTCTTTTTCTTTGGCAAACTGGGATCGTCACAAACCCTTGTGTCAGCCATTTTGCTCGGACTCGTGAGTCTAGCAGCAAACACGTACAATCAAAACAGGGGCTCTCTTGAGCGACATGGTTCAATCAGGCACACATAGTCAACTCCGTAAGAGTCATATACTACTTCCCGAGGCATACATTACATTTTGATTCCAAAAATGCCTTTCAAAACAATGCAATTCACAAAACAAGTTAGCTTATACCTAAATACCACTGTCAGTCTGCGATAATGGCGGACATTACAGGCATTGCATGACGGGAAGGAAACGACGTCATGACCCACTCACAGTGACCCCACGAGGTCACTTGTCTCATGACCTCCCACCTTCTATGAAGTCATCGGACGAAATGCACTGCCGTTAAACGTAAATTTACATTCACCACGGTTATGAAATAAAGCCATCCAAGCAATATTAATCATAACACGAAACTAAATTCACTCAATTGATGTAACAAAGAACAGCGTACATGATGTTAGTGCACGAGTTCATTCATAAAAAGCATTAATACAACAAACACTCCAAATATTGTACGTTATTAGTGAACATCTGTCGGAGATTGAATATTTACCAACGGACTACATACGTGTGTGTTCATTCACGTTTTGTAAAAGCTAAAACTATTTTCCTCTTTATACGATTTTAAACGGTAACTCTGATAAAAATGGGACAGGGTGCCATATATAATCTTTGAGCTCATGAATCTATCGGAGCGTGCACAAAAACCAGACGAACCAAGTCGAAAAGGAAACGCCATTCATGGAAAAGGGTGGGGGCTCAATATGAAAATAATTAAAATTTGTTTCAAAAACATTTTATTGAATGAATTTCCTATTAGCCACTCTTGATCTTTGTTGTCAAAACATGTGCGAGTTAGCTTTCTCTGCATTATGCAATGGCGCGCCTAAAGCCATTAAGTTCTGTGTTTAATCACCGGAAAGTCTCCGACCATTGTGTGGATCGACTGTCTCGGATAACACGTGGTAAATATTCATAATTATGTTCGCAGACAGTTATTTTTTCGCCACTGGTTTAGATAATTGCAGTGATAAATAAACGTAATTTTTTGCAACATTGAGTTTACTGTTTTGTTTGTTTGTTTGTAGTGGAACGGTATTTCATTTTTTGACGGCGGATCATGCTATCTGTGGACATTCAATCAGCGAGCCTGATCATCCGAACCCCTTAGTTACCTCTCTCGACAAGCGTCTGTTGCTGAAAAACAACTCTTCACTCTGATTTCCACTGGGGTAGTATTACATAAAAACAATGTATCGTACTTTCATACAAAAAAAGTACCGCTAAAATTGTATTATTATTTTTATAACTGATCAGATTAACGCCACGGCCGTTTTCACCGTACCTAATGTCAGTCATACAGATCCTGAAATAGATGCAGCCTATTTATTTCTCCACATTTTCACATTTGTAGGCCTTTACATGCTCACCTGTCTAGGGTTTGCAGTGCATAAGACTAGCTTTGTTATTCGCGAATGCGTAATAACCTGTATACATCAAAGACTAGACTAGTGGATAGTCAGGAGAGGGAATACGTGTAAGTGATGCACGAAGAGTGGGAATTTATGTGGAGAGGATAGGCAGGAGAGGAGATGCAAGATGGATGCTTGCATGTTTTCCATCAATCAGTAGAAAGTGTAGCCCACGTGTCTTTGAATGTTATGTATATACCGAAAATATATTTTTCATTTATATGAATACTATTAGAATGCCACTGAAACAAATTATATGAATACTTCTTTCTTTATTTAAAAAGTGTAAAGAATTCAAGCCTGATTCTGCACATTAAATGTAAAATTGTATAAAAAAATAAAAGTATATTGTTGGCAGAGACACATTGATGAAAAATATGTAACTTAAATTAGATTTATACCCCTACTACAACAGGATTTAAACCAAATTACAAATTCTCGCAACCGATTCTGTGCTTTTGCATGGGCGTCTCTAGGCTGAGTGAGACCATTCCTATTATATTTTATTAAAATAAAATATATTCAGCAGTTGTATGTTATTTAGTAGAATATTTTCATTTCAGAGACTAGATGGTTCTACATATATAGTTGACAGAATAAGCTGCATAATTGAAAGTGTTGGCATTCGGACTGCCAGTTTTTCACAATATTCGATACCCCCCACGAACAAATGTTAAACATTATATAGGACTCACCAAAAAAGAATGCAAGGCATTATCTCTATTATGGAGCCGCGTATTTTGGGGGAAACTCACGTCAGTATAGTATGCATACTGGTGGAATGGTGAATTCATAAGCAGATACCGTAAATTCTTGAAAGGGTGCATGTCTTCAATACGATGTAAATTCGCTTTAAATAATAAAGGCATCGATTATCAACTTTAAGGATCTATACAAGTAACCTTGAATTTGTCCTTTTTTGGTTTCTTAAAATAGTTTTGCCACCTGGAAACAGTCTCTCTTTTTCATAATATATGGAACAATTTTTGAAATATTTGAATACTTTTGACGGTATGGTTCTCTATGTATGTATTTGCCCGAGAGCCTGTGTAATATCATTTACATGATGATGTTATGACACAGTGGAGGCTGCTTCGGTGGAATAAACCATAGGCTCCATCGAAAATGACGACCGCATCTCAACTTTGTTAAATAAATGAAATCTCTAAGATCGGTTTAAACCAGTCTCTTATGTTTGTCAAAAAAACAAAACAAACAAGTTTCTAAGATCGGTTTAAACCAGTCTCTTATGTTTGTCAAAAAGAACCCCAAGCAAGTCTCTAAGATCGGTTTAAACCAGTCTCTTATGTTTGTCAAAAAAACAAAACAAACAAGTTTCTAAGATCGATTTAAACCAGTCTCTTATGTTTGTCAAAAAACAAAACAAACAAGTTTCTAAGATCGGCTAACACAAGTTACTGTTCAATACTTACTTGTATGATAGTTGTTTACTGCAGGATCAGCCGCGGCTTGTGCATAGCGGCACATGTGCGGGTTTTTCAGAAACCACTTATCGTTTGTTCCATTCCCAAGTGCGCGCGCTTGATAAATTTTCAAATATTTTGCTGGTTTTATTAACAAACATTTATCTAAAAACCGGTGATTGATGTTAAGAGCAAGAAACGATAAGCGATAAGGAACACGCCAAATTCATTTATTTATTTATTTATTTATTTATTTATTTATTTATTTATTTATTTATTTATTATTATTATTTATTATTATTATTATTAATTTTTTTTGTGTGTATTTATTTATTTATTTATTTTGCTTTGTCCCATGTAGTAGGATAAAGAACATTCAGTTCAAGAAGTCACGGAGATTCTGATCACTTCATCCAGACAGACAGATAGTTTATTATAGTCTCACTTTGTGTATACATTAAAATATCGTCTATAAAAGATATATACAAAAAATAGCATCATAAATATACACAAACCACTCCTGTAGGTGTTATTAGAGACTGAAAATAATTACAACACTAGTTATATAAAATACATTTTATCACTTGTTTAACAAGCACGGCCTACCGAGGACGGACGGTACGAGTGGGCTAGCTGTCTAGGTTACACAACACCAACTGTTTTCCCATAGACTTCTATAGCAGCCTTATATTTTTTTTTAAATTATCCAAGCTAACAACAGCCATTCCATGTACAGACACGCTGTAGATAAATAAAATCCTGTCCAATGCAGCGTCAACACTAATTCACGTACAAGCGGACTTACACGGGGCGACTGTCATCTTCAGTCGGAATCAACACAGAGAAGTACCGAAGACAAAACCTTAGTCTCTGAAATGAACACATTTTACAGAAAAAAAGACAGTTCCTAAATTATCCTCCTAAAATCTTACAAAAAAGAACCATCTAGTCTCTGAAATGAAAATATTCTACTAAATGACATACAATTGCTGAATATATTTTATCTTAATAAAATATAATAGGAAGGATCTCACTCAGCTTAGAGTCGCTCGTGCAAAAGCACAAAATCTGCTGCGAGACTTTCTTAATTCTACACGACACTGCGGTAATCTAGTCCTGTCATATATACTATCAGAAAAAGAAACACATAGGCGTTTTGTATTTTAAAAGATCTATTAATTACCTATTGTGTTCAAACAATCGTCAAAATATGTAACAAAAGTGTTGATAACGTGATTTCAAACAACTGCACAAGTCAAAAATCGATTTTACCTGAAAATGTTGATTTTAATTAGATTTCTTACGAGGATTAAACAGGCATCGCCACAACGCAACAGATATCACCTTCCAGATGAAATTGTACAGCAAAGAGCATGGACTGTCTGGCTATAAAAAAAATCCAGATTACTTTCGGAAATCGGCATTCGTTTTGAAGGAGTTTCAAGGTCAAATTACTACGGTACGTCGTGACGCTGCGACACTGAACATCGCCATTGAAAGATTGCACGCTGGAGATTACCAATCTTCTGTTGCCAGGCGTCTGAATGTTAGTCTGAGCACGATATCACAGTTTGCAGCTCGTTACAACCAAACAGGTATAACAAATGACCGTCCCCGAAAAGGCAGACCCCGAGTCACCACTGCAGCCCAAGATCGGTACATCCGGGTACTACATTTGCGTGATCGTACTGCCACGGGTGAGAGCACAGCAATCAGGGTGCCTGGACTTTGGAGGATATCCGGTCAAACTGTACGGAACAGAGATTGGACTGAGACATTTCCGCAACAGATTTCTGGGTTATGCGTTTCTTTCTTTTGAATAGTATATACTAACTGGGTCTATTGATGTCAGGATCTGTATGTCAGACCAACAGGTCCTGTACAGTATAGATGTTTAGACGTGTCTTTACATGATAAACCTTTCAGCAGAACATACGTACGCTACCATGCTATCGGCTGTGTTTACAGGCGTCAACACCCACGACGCAGATGATAGTGTCACTTGTCTGCGCCGTTTCTATCAGTGATATCAGGAAGATACGGACCATGACAGTCACATATATTGAATATTTATGTAAGCCTCATATCTTACACTCGAGTGCAACTCATAGTGTAAGATCCCTCGTGAGCTGAGGCACCGACTCACCTTTTTACTCACTCACTCACTCACTGATTCGCTCGGCGACCCGTTAAAATCCGGGTTAGAATTGGTTCAGGAACCCATGCTTGTCGTAATAGGCGACTGACGGGATTGGTTGACACATTTCATCGTATTCCAATTGCGTAGATCGATGCTCATGATCTTGATCACCGGATTGCCTGGTCCAGAATCGATTGTTTCCAGACAGTCGCCATATTTCTGTAATATTGCTGAAAGCGGCGTTAAACACCAACTAACCAACCAACTCGTTCGGTCCCCTTCCCTCACATCTATCGAGTCACTCACTCACTCCGCGGGGAGTATGAAATCGAACTCGAGGAGGGAAGGCTTTAACCACAAGGCTATCCTACCGACACGATAAATAACTAACAAACAATCAATACACACCTTGATTGCTGCATCATATTTCAGCCCGTTTCCACCTTCTCTATTTACCATTATGCCGAATTCAGGAAGTTTTAATTTTTAGGTAAAATAGAAATGTTTTCATAACTTTTAGATGAGAATTTTGTTCCTGGTGAAATTCTTTTAATTGGAGAACACAAGTGTTGTTATAGCGCAAGGACCAGTTTCTTTCTTAAGGACACATGGAATCTTTGTAGCAATCTTAAGATTTTGCTATACTTTGCAACCAGTAGGCATGCAGGTAGCCTAGGGTATTAGGTTCAAGTCCCACATTCTCCAGGTTCCAGCCCAGATAGCATTCGGACGTTGGCCCAACGTTGGCAATGGTTTTGCCAACATTGCCAACATTGGGCCAGCGTCCGAATGCTATCTGGGAGGTTTGTCTGCATCTGGATACCTGTACTCAGGGGTTTCTCAGTCTCAGACCTGCATCTGTTCGGCTTCTCGCAATACGTTGGAGTCCCAAATTGGAGGCGGTGGGGTAGCCAAATGGGTAAAGCGTCCACTCGTCATGCAGAAGACCCGGGTTCCATTCCTCACGGGGGTTCAATGTGTGAAGACCATTTCTGGCGTCCAGCGCCGTGATATTGCTGGAATATTGCTAAAAGCGGCGTAAAAGCATACTCACTCATTCACTCGCCTAGATTGTGGCTCAGTCACCCAGAAGGAACTAGGCACAGTTATGTCACTCAGGTGTGCGGGAAACATATAAAGCGCCAGCGCAACACACACAGGGAACCACGGTACCCTGTCCCGGATTCGACTTGATAACATGTCAAGGTTTGCCAGCACCTTTCCCGTGCTCCTGGCTTTCACCCAACAGGACTTGTTTCACTTCGGGCTTTTCCCTTATCGGGCAGACATACCGTGATATAACTGATATGTCAAACTCATTCACTCCTAGAGTGAATACACTTTCACTGAAGCTAGCAGAGATGTTTGCTCCAATCCTATTTAGCGCAGCCTTAAGATTAGATACTACGGTGCTGGGACATCGAGAAATAAGATTCTCACGACCACAGGAGTTACTTGACAAACGTGTCTCCGGACGCTGTGCTTACAGATGCTCGACCATTGGATGTGCAGGTTCGGTGTCGTCACGAACTCCGTAGGACAATGTCCTGGGTAATTAGGGTAATTAGTTCGTTTGCTAATTATCTGGGTCATAAAGGGGAACTGGCAGTGGAGTGAAATTTAAAACGGCATCCAGATGACCAGATTCACGACCAGTTACTAACTACCTACTTACTACTCTAAGTGAAACAGACGGAATATTCACACGCTTGCACCCTACTTAGTACCTTGTGTGAAACAGACAATATATTCACGTGGGTGCCTACTTAGTACCTTGTGTGAAACAGACAATATATTCACGTGGGTGCCTACTTAGTACCTTGTGTGAAACAGACAATATATTCACGTGGGTGCCTACTTAGTACCTTGTGTGGAACAGACAATATATTCACGTGGGTGCCTACTTAGTACCCTGTGTGAAACAGACAATATATTCATGTGGGTGCCTACTTAGTGCCTTGTGTGGAACAGACAATATATTCACGTGGGTGCCTACTTAGTACAATGTGTGAAACAATATGCCACTCGCTACGCAGTTTCTCACAGGGCACTGTAATTATCATAACGAAAGCGACTTTACCATTATTCTTTTAGAAGGCTCTCGTGCCCACACATTGTGTTCCTCCAAAATATATTTACGGTGCTATAAGTATTATGTATGTTGTGCAACAATAATTAATCATTTGTCTTTCTCACTTTCAAACCAAGAATCATGCTGGATTCGACCCCACAATTATTGGATCCTGGTACTCACAAGGGACGGAGCTCAAAATGAACGGAATCTCACTCAGGTTTTTGTATCATATTTGAATGAAATGACGTGTTTTTGGTGTCTGGCAAAAGCACTGAAATAGTCAAGTACAGTTTCACGTGGTTTAATGTCACGTGATCTGTCAGCACGCGCAGATATTGCATCTCGTCAAACACGACTCACATCGTCCTTTACCTTATCGGGCGTCGCGAGTAAGCTGACTACACCGTGTTACTGGAGACGATGTTGCGCATGGGGATGTTCCCAACGTCGACGCCCTGTAACATGAACGCCTTATGAACCATAATACGATCACAATGCTTCGAGAATATTTTTTTTCTTTCTACGATAAAACCAACATTATGCACTATTACATTAATACAAAGAAAATATGCGCTATTCCTTTCAACCATAGTATTTGATTGTGTTTTGAATCGATTGAAAAAATATGCATATTTTTATTGTCTATTAAAGAATCTGTCTATGTAACTGTCAACAAAATCAACAGCAGAACGCAGAATGCTTGCCGAGGGAGGGAGCCAATGACCTGTAACAGCGGCAGTTGTAACATGGAGAAATTTCGATTTAAACCAAAAATAAATGTATGCTGCCAATGTATCAGAGTTAGGCTTTCGACGTTTGTAGCAGGCACCAAAACAGTCATCTACTTCCCAAGCACACTAAATTCGCGCCATATTTTAGAATCGAATCGATGCCGATTTTGTCCATTTCCTGATGATTACCGTGGCGCATAAACGTATCATAACGTTCATGAGTGACCCTACCCTTCGTCCAGAATACTCATGGAAGGGCCGAGTTTATATCACAGTCCCTGAACTAGATTATTTCCCTTACGCCCATTCCCTTCTTCAATGCTAAATCCCTTAATGACGCAAGTGTTGATTTATTCTGGCAAGAAGACGTGACCGATGGTGAGGATCTGTGGTGAGGTCCATCGTAACCTCTGTGTGTCCTAAGATGTGACCGATGATGAGGATCTGTGGTGGGGTCCATCGTAACCTCTGTTTGTCCTAAGATATGACCGATGGTGAGGATCTGTGGTGAGGTCCATCGTAACCTCTGTTTGTCCTAAGACGTGACCGATGGTGAGGATCTGTGGTGAGGTCCATCGTAACCTCTGTTTTTCCTAAGAAGTGACCGATGGTGAGGATCTGTGGTGAGGTCCATCGTAACCTCTGTATGTCCTATGATATGACCGATGGTGAGGATCTGTGGTGAGGTCCATCGTAACCTCTGTTTGTCCTAAGATATGACCGATGGTGAGGATCTGTGGTGAGGTCCATCGTAACCTCTGTATGTCCTAAGATGTGACCGATGGTGAGGATCTGTGGTGAGGTCCATCGTAACCTCTGCTTGTCCTAAGATGTGACCGATGGTGAGGATCTGTGGTGAGGTCCATCGTAACCTCTGTTTGTCCTAAGATATGACCGATGGTGAGGATCTGTGGTGAGGTCCATCGTAACTTCTGTGTGTCCTAAGATATGACCGATGGTGAGGATCTGAAGACCCGGGTTCGATTCCCCACGTGGATACAATATGCAAAGCCAATTTCTGGTGTCCCCCCTCCATTATATTGCTGGAATATTGCGAAAAGCGGCATAAAACTGAACTCACTCACCCTTCAGTCGCCTCTAAATACCTGCATGGGTTGCTGGAGACATTTTCTTACCTCCAGGATAAACAGTCCAGTCTAGGGCATCAGTAACATAAAACCATGAACACTGTTCCCGATTCTAGACTGTGTCTGCATTAGTTGTATTGATAATCTACATTTGATCTACATGACAGTCACGCACAATACTGCCATTACCCAGGAGTATGGATTAACCGCGTTGAAACGAGCAGCGACGACCCTCAGTGAATGTACATAATTAACTCAAAAGAGATAATCAATAACTCAGCTTGCTTGGCATCATTTAAACTTCATCTTCTAACTACAGAACTAATGGGCAGATACAGGGAACAAAACTCCAGAATCAGGCCATAAATAAACCCAAGTATAAACTCAAATAACAACAAATACAAGTATCTTTTAATAATTGTTTTAATAAATTAGTTGGTATCTTATATACAAATTCAGCAAATAAATACACATTCTTTGATACAATGTTTGGACGGATATATATTTGGTTGTCTCAATAATATTTCTGTTCATACGTCTCACTCGCATGTATGATGTGAATATGTGGGGTCACTGCTCATCAATATTCTGTCTGCAGGTGCTCTGTCTGTTACGGCAATGTTACAAGGCCAGACGTATACTTTGAATTCAGTTCATGGATTTGGGGCTCAAATTCATGTCAGATTTAACAGATTTTTGTAAAATACAATAAAAGTATATACAAGGCTCCAGATAACTTTTGTGGGTGTGGGTGTACTTACACCTCATATTGCAAGTGGAGGTGTACTGAGAATTTTGAAGGAGTACTGACATATTTCTGTGTGAGCGAGTTGGTAACGTGGTTTGTTATTTATAATATTAAACAACTTTTCATCTATCAAACTTTATATATGTTAGATGTACAAAGGTATTTATGTGCGTACATGATACGCTTGAAATCTTATGTTATGTTGTACTTCATTGATTTTTAGGCATGCATTACGTCTGTACGCCCTTATCTGTAGCCCCCTTATATAATTTTTCTGAAAATGTATCTTAAGAAGATTTTTCAACAGGTTTTGAATTTTCATACTATATTTATATTGATAGGAAGAGCAATTGAGTTGGGTTTTAAAAAAGCATTTAGTTCTGTTTGGTGGAATAAAAAACCCCCACTATTTTCAATTTTCAAGTAGTTTTCAATAGTTTGGATTTGTCAGATACATAAACCAAGTTTTAAAAATAGTCTGGTTCAAGCTGTGAGCATGTTCAGTACATTGAATGTGTGAGTGAACCAGTTGGGTTTTATGCCACCTTTAGCAACATTGCAGCAAAACCATGGATTCCATAAAACGGCTTCACACCTTGTACCCCTGTGGGGAATTGAACCCAGACATTCAGTGGGGAGAATGAACCACTGGGCTAACCCACTGCCCCTGAACTTAGTATAGAGACAGGAACCCAGTCTGTGACAACATTTCCATCAACAGACCGTTTTCAAAGTCAGCCAAGTTTCCCTGCACAATTAACTGCACTATATTCAAATCTGGCAATGAACATGCAACACATTCTCAACAGACATCTTTACATTGTGAGACAGACAGACACAGCTACCCATCAACAATGCTAGAACAACCTACCATGGCAGTGACACCGATGTGAGTCTCTCTCCTTGATGCTATATTAAACACACTATCAGTATTACACAACTAGTTCAGGATAACATTGTGTGAAAGTAAAGTTATAAAACACCTCATGGATATATAGCTACCTCGACCCAACTCAGCTACGTGATGTTCACCACTGATGCTATTATGACAACATGATCAGCACGATGGACTTGATGTGGACTCCAAACTTACGTAGGGCAGGCCCCAGAGTTACAAACAGGGCCCCGTTCCTCATAGCAATCGTAGCGTCAGGACAGTCGTAACTCCCATACTCTAACATAGACTTACGACTGTCGTAGCGCTACGATTACTTTGAAACACAGGGTCCTTACTATTGTAAGTCTGAGATAAGTCTGAGATAAGCATGACAACAGTGTCCTAGTAGGACAAGTCTGGAGTGAGTGAGTGAGTGAGTTGGGTTTTACGCCGCTTTTAGCAATATTCCAGCAATATCACGGCGGGGGACACCAGAAATGAGCTTCACATATTGTACCCATGTGGGGAATCGAACCCGGGCCTTCGGGGTGACGAGCCAATGCTCTAACCACTAGGCTACCCCACTGCCCCGACAAGTCTGGAAACACATGGGAAATGAACATAATGTTACAAAATGAAGGATGTGATGGACATGTCGTTGATTCAGATACTGCTTTGGTTAATAATTTGAGCTGTTCAGGTAGTCTAGAAAATGACGAAATAATGCACATAAAACACTATCAAATGTAATACTGCCACCCAATTGATCACCCCAGCTCTACTATAACACACATGTATGCACACACACATGCACGCACGTACACACATGAAGGTATGCTCACACCCACGCAGTGTACCTGCTCTTCCGACCGACATAAAAGGAGCATACACTAACAAAGGTTGAATACTTCAACGATCTTAACAATTGAGTGGAATATTTCTGACTAACTGTCCCCTCTTTGATTCTACAAGCAATTAATCCACAACAGAGACAAGTTGGACATAACTGGTGACCATCCATCTATATCTTGAAGAATGAGTATAATTTTACGCCGCTTTAAGCAATATTCCAGCAATATCACGGCTGGGGACACCAGAAATGGGCTTCACACATTGTACCCATGTAAGGAATCGAACCTGGGTCTTTGGCATGACAAGCCAACATTTAACCACTAGGCTTACCCACCACCCCTATATCTTGAAGAGACTTCTAATAGCAGTAACATCATTGACAGCAGGACTGACTTTAATAAAACTTCATATAAAAATGGAAAAAATTGGAATCAATAGATGAATTCTGATTTCATTGTACTGGTTTTGTTTTCATGCTGCAACAATATCTCTACAACCGAGCTTCATATTAGCTTCTTATTTTTGTAAAATATTCACAATAAATCACTATAACCCATTTTAGGTGGTTAATGTACAATTCTGTAATTTAGAATAACCATTAGCATGATGACACTGTGCACCCTGTCAGCTTGTTCCTGTATTTCCTTACAGATTTACTTCACTGAAAGGATACTGGCATCACTTCCATATGAAGCATGCTGCAGGGTATATGTGCCTGAACTCGGGCTACTGTAACTGACACTTGTACCACGGCCGGGAGTGTCACATGACACATGTAGGGTACTACCTCTATAGATACAAATCTGAAACATTTCTGATGATTTGATTTAAGAAAAAGTCTCTGCACTGGTTTAAAAACAGCCAACTGAGTGGGGCGAAGGGAGTAAAACTGTACTGAGTACACAAAACTTTCACTACCCAATATGAATGATGACATGTGGGAAATACTGCATGGCTTAAATGGACCCTGTGACAGCATGTAAAATGATCAAGTCTGAACTGCAAAACCAGATTTTTTTATTGTAAGCAGCATCCCCATGTTGACGACAGGGGAAATACGCTATCCCAGCACCCCCACATCTACACCCTCATTAACTGTAGCTGCAATAAATACGTTATCCCAGCACCCCCACATCTAGACACCTCATTAACTGTAGCTGCAATAAATACATTATCCCAGCACCCCCACATCTACACCCTCATTAACTGTAGCTGCAATAAAAACGTTATCCCAGCACCCCCACATCTACACCCTCATTAACTGTAGCGGCAATAAATACGTTATCCCAGCACCCCCACATCTACACCCTCATTAACTGTAGCTGCAATAAATACGTTATCCCAGCACCCCAACATCTACACCCTCATTAACTGTAGCTGCAATAAATACGTTATCCCAGCACCCCCACATCTACACCCTCATTAACTGTAGCGGCAATAAATACGTTATCCCAGCACCCCCACATCTACACCCTCATTAACTGTAGCTGCAATAAATACCTTATCCCAGCACCTCCACATCTACACCCTCATTAACTGAAGCTGCAATATCAAACAATCAGGCAGCACGTACTAGGCGGAAAATATTTGTTTCATTACACGATGCAAAATATTGACATGTTAATATCAGAATGACCTCTTTCTTGAAGGAATATTTGTACAATGGGCAGATGCCACTGTGGGAGAACATCAGATACAATCCTGTCCTCCCACACATGGAATGATCAGGAAGATAAACCTAAAAAGTCTACACAGGAGAGTTTTACAGTGTTTTTTGTTTTGATCTTATGCATCCATTTTGTGATAAATCCAATTCCCCTGCTAAACAATATCTACACTTCCTTGTTACAGTGCCACAGAGATGGAGACTAGAGGGACACCGGAGTTCCCTGCCTGAATACCGCCAGTTTCATTCGAAAGGTTAACCTCCTTGTGTTTGTCATGGGTGTGGAAATATCAAAACTTTGACTTATCTCTGGGCAATTAATCAGTCAAAATTCACATATCACAAATCAGTTTGGCCAGATTACTGACCCAAAATAATGTCTTTATCACAGAATTGGAGTTAGTGACACAGAATTCTGTCATTTCACTGCAGAAGGTTGAGATTTCAATCCTTGCTTCAACAAGATAATGTAAATATGATAAGTTATGTATGAAGCTATTCTCAGTTCCTGGCAGTGTCACTCCTACAGAGCACTGTGAGGAGCAATCAGTACATGACCACATCACAAAACGCTGTCTTGAGAATATATTTCAGTAGTCCGAAATGACTGACAAACTCTTGAAGACTTCGGTTCCAGACATAACAGGCGTCTCCGGCAAATGCCGACACATTCTGTCATGTCTTACCACAGAGTGAGTGAGTGACTTGTGACTCTGCTCATATATGGGTGTACTTCCTAAGTGTAAGTTCAGTGCCGGCACGCAGCTCAGATATGTGAGAATCTATTAGTCGTTCTAGTTCTTTGGCTCGTTCCTGTTCTTGGCTCAGGAACAATTCAGCCGCCGCATCAGCAGAACTCTCCAGCTGGGAAAATAGGAAAACAATATGAGTTCAGTTTATAATGCGGCTGTGAGCAGCATTTCAATTGTTTCAATTGGTTTGTTTTATACGTAAGGAAAGTCATGTTTCACCACATGTTTACCACTGTCCTAAGCCCAAAGTCATGTTTCACCACATGTTTACCACTGTCCTAAGCCCAAAGTCCACTGTCCTAAGCCCAAAGTCATGTTTCACCACATGTTTACCACTGTCCAAACCCACAAAACATAAAACATTATCAAGGGGAACCAGGATTCATAGGTTCCTGCTAAACCTAAGGGAAGCAACTCTGCTCAACTTTGAGAACACCAATTAATATGAAATGCATTCAGCAACTATTTCTACCCCTCCCGTGTAAATGAAGGAACAGTCACATGACTCACATCACACTCCAAGGATTCTGCTGGTGAGTCAAGGTCGTTGAGGGTATGGAGGAGCGACATGGGTTCCGAGTCCAAGATGGTGCCGGTGCTGCCGTTCAGCTCACTGTGCAGTTGACTTCTTGACATCCCTGGAACACAGAATGGTACTGCCAGCATCAGCATCACAGATATCCTTGGTCTCATGCTATAGCTACCAATATTTACAGTCAGGATACTATGACAGGTATAAATAACCCCCAATATAGTCACATGTTATGAGAGGCAAGAGTTACTGAAGACCAATTTCAACTCAGACTTTATGTGCAAACTACACTTCACGGTTTTATATACTACACATCAAAAATTTAGACTCGCTAAAGCACTCACTGTTAATTATGTATATATACTACAAACAAAAAGAATGGGAACAGCCTAAAATTTGATAGTCATATATAAACTTAAATGTTGTGAGGTCATTTATACTGTAAGGTAAACTATAACACAGTTATACTGAAGACAGAAAAAGAAATTTGGGGGATTCAGACCCAAGAGCATTTGATCCTGGACAGGAGACAACTGTTTGCAACAACAATGTTCTGTTCTCCAGAGTGATGGTGACTGGTTGAGACCGGGCAAACTCAGTGACTCACGTCTATTCTCCCTCCTCTCCAGGTCCAGCTCTTCCTCTAGCCGACGCTTCTGCGCCTGCAGCAGACGGATCTGACTCTCGTACCCCTGCGCCGTGCCGTCCAGGTGGTCCTGAGCTGTCTGCTTGTGCTTCGGTGGCTTGCTGGGGTACACAGAGGAAAGAGATCAAACAGAAATATCATATATAATCTATAATATCAATACATATATGATTGAGATAAATATTACATTGTTTCCATCTTCACAAAGGAGGTGCTTGGCTTTACCCAACCAGATGTACAATGTTTGATAGGCATTTAGAAGTTGGTAGGGATAATACCACACACTTCATATGGATGTGCAACTTCTTTATTATTTACACACTAAACATTAAAGTTGAAGTTGCACATCCATATCAAGTGTGTTGTATTATCAGATGTACAATGAAATACCTCTCTGCACACTGTAAGACAGGGGATACAAACCAGGAGTACTGAGGATACAGTCTGCCGTGGAATCGCAACTTGGTAAATGTTCTACTCACACCGACAGTATATTGTTATCATGACGGGAGGGCAGGCTCCTGGACCTCTCCATGGTGGACATATCCTGCTTCAAGTGAGATACATCCTCACGGAGACTCTCATTCTCCTTCTGAAATAATGATGAACAGTTCGTCAGCTTACACACTATCATGAATAGTAAGTGCTGTGTTGCTAGTAAATGTAGGTAGTAATAGAATTGCTACACCCTGGTCAATAGGAGGGATGAAGTACACTGTAGTGCCTAGAAAGGTACATAGTGAGTGAGTCACTGAGTGAGTTTAGTTTTACGCCGCACTCAGCAATATTACAGCTATATGGCAGTGGTCTGTAAATAATCGAGTCTCGACCAGACAATCCAGTGATCAACAGCATGAGTATCGATCTGCGCAATTGGGAACTGATGACATGTGGCAACAAAGTCAGCGAGCCAGATTACCCGATCCTGTTAGTTGCCTCTTACGACAAGCATGGGTTGCTGAAGACAAATTCTAACCCGGATCTTCACTGGTAGAAAGATACATATTTGTAGTACCTTAACAAGCATGCTTGTAGTGCCTTAATAAGTACATTGAAGTACTCCTGTAAGCACAATTCGATCAACCTGCAGAGGTTTCTGATTCTTTGAAAAGAGTCCTCCTTGGGGTACTTATAAGCATTAAAATGTTCGAATGGTTGTAACTATATTTTTCAATAAAATATTTACAAAACAAAAAACTCGTTTTTGTCTTGTTCAGCCACCCCTATAGGGCCCCTAGGGGCCCCAACATGCAAGAGCAGGTAACTCTAAGCGTAAACCTCGCACCTCACTTTTCATGCTGAACGTAATCAGACAGAAAGGGGGGAGGTGGGTGGCCCTACCCCAAGGAGGACTATTTTCAAAGAATCAGAAACCTCTGCAGGTTTGTCCGATTCTTTTTCAAATGAGATCCTCCTTGGGGTACTTATAAGCATAAGACAGACTCCCATAGACAGAGAGTCGAGAGTGGTATTCTGTCTGGCATACTAAACCCCCTGCTAAGCGGCATTTCCCAATCAACGGAGAGAGAGAAAACATATTTACCCTGTCACCTGACCGCCGCTGTCAATCAGGCGGGGGCGTGGCTAGGGGGAGGGACAACAGCTGCCAAGCTCATAGCCTGATAGGCTGTGAACACATCAGAAAACCCTGCCTCCCAATCAATGAATTTGTGTGTGGGCAGTAATTGACAGTACCTAGTCCCGCTACAAACCCAGTAAGCTGGCCATAGCGATGGAGAATAGAAAGGAAACATTATAAAATCGCTAAAGGTGAACTGGGTAAAAGACCATCACCAATACCATCACCAAGGGATAGAGAGTGATAAAAAAACCCTCACCAAATGGAAATAATGCAACAGTAGATTCGAAAGCTCAATCGGCTAGAGAGTCAAGACCCTGCCCATCGGTGAGAACCGCTTGACCGAACCGAGCACGCTCTCGAGAGTGCTTGTTGAGTTGGTAATGTCGGATAAACATGCTCGGACGGCTCCAAATAGCCGCAGAGCAGATGTCCTCAATAGGCAGGGCTGCAGCATATGCCCACTCCCCTAACCAAATGAGCTGTCAAACCTTCTGGGAAGTTAAGCCTTTATGAACATAACCCATACAAAAGGCAGAGACAAGCCACCTAGAAATGGTCTGCTTGTTCTCCAGAAGGCCAGCCTTACCACAGCCACAACAGCAGAACAGTTGTTTATCCTTAGACGCTGTTTGTTTGATATAAGCCTTGAGAGTCATACTGACAATGGTTGGATCCGCTGAATGTCGCCGACCCTCCTACCAGATGTTACCGCCACAAGAAAGGCTGCCTTCCAGCTTGACAGCTGGAGTAAAAGAGACGACAGATCGTAAAAGAGAGGACTGGACATCCAATCAAGAACGATTGACACGTCCCATGGGGGACTAATCTGCTGGACAGTCGGACGGATTCTGTCCACACCTGCTAAAAAGCACTGCACTAAAGTACTGTCGGACATAGACATAAATGTAATTTTCTGAATAAAATTGATATTTTATACTTATCCTGACTCATGCTATTTGCTTGTCTTCTTCTTCTTGTGAATCGGAATGTGTAGATATGCATCTTGCAAATCTATGCTGGCCATGTAATCTCTGGGACGAATTAAGTACCAAAGTTGCGGTAAGTGTATCATGCGAAACGCTGGCGGTTTGCTTAGATAGTCTCTGTTGAAGATGCTCATGTTGTATATGAGACGAAACTTTTCCTTTGAATTTTTCTTGGGCACTAGGAAAACTGGGGAGTAGAAACCTGGTACGATGTTTCGCTGATCCAGAACTTCTAAGGCCTGTTTGTTTAGAAGAGTAGCTACTGTTTCTCTTAACATAGGTAGTTGTGCCGGTTGGAAGTCGAACCTTGGAGGGATGACTGTCAACGGAGGTTTGGCCTTGAGTTGTATTTGATATCCGTGCTATAGGATGTTGGATACATAAAGATCTTGTAGTAGTCCCCAGTTTTCCCAGTGTAGTTGAAGGCGTCCACCCACTTGGGAAGGTTGTACTGGAACGGCTGGGGGTGGAAGACTCCAGTCGTTCCGAACCTGTATTTCATCGTTTAAAAGCGCGGAAACCTCTGGATGACCTGCCTCTTGCTGATCCTCCTCTGAAATTGCTGTATGGGCGACGAAAAGATTCCTTGGGACCTTTTGCTGTAGCCAATTTCTTGTCCCGTGCTTTCTGTAGTCCAGAGAATTTAGACTTGCCAGAGTATCTCAAGGATGTTTGCTTAATGACATTAGCTAACGTATCCATGGACTTGATCATAAGCACCTCTCTAGAGTCCTTAGACACCTCTTTGGAGACCTTGTCTATGTTACCACCAAAGAGCAAAGGTGATGACCACGGGGCAGCGTAGAGGGATTCCGTAATTGATTACCCCAATTGCAGGAGGCTAGTAGACCCTGACGACGAGCCATGGTAGTAGCTGCAGTAAGTGCTGACAAGTGATCTGTAAGGAACTGTTGGTCTCTTTTCTGCATGAGTAGAGCCGAGTAGATCATCCTATCTTCTTCCTCTGTAGAATCTTGAACTTGGTGATGAGGGTTTCATTGACAGTTCTAGATCTATTCAATCCAAAAAACATTCTCCTAGAAATGGTATCCAACTGGGCTAGTTTGCGATCGTCTATTCTGTAATTCCTGGACTTGGCATCGCTGATTAACTTAAAGTTCTCATCAATATCTTGAGCCTTGAAAAAGGAGTCCATATTGTGGCCTGCAAACTTCTTGGCGTTGAAACCCGGGAAATGTGTTGACTGAAACTTCGTAGATTTGGTAAAGGCTGTATCCAGATTAGCTGGAACCGCTGCTATCGGGTCAATAGGAGGTAAGGAGATAGTGTCCGCATCATCTTCCTTCATCAAATAAGTATGAGCTGAGTTCTCGTTCTTAGACGGGGAAGTAAGTTCCAATCCATTCACCATCCAGTATCTAATTTCTGCATCCAAGAATACGATACCTCCCTCCTCTTCTGACGTAGGATCACATATAATAGAGTGAGGTGGAGTCCTAGATCTGTAAGAAGATCGACGAGAAGATTGTGGTGAACGGACTGACGAGTGGCTAGTATAGGGAGACCTTGGAGGAGACTTCCTCGTCGAACGCTGGTGGCTTCGTGAAGCTCTCGATGAATCCCTTCTAGATCTTCTGGATGAAGATGACTTGGAGCCACTTAACCTTCGTGAAGGCCTTCGTGAAGGTATCGAGTCAGAGTCCGAATCATTATATAGGAGCTTGCTTCGCGAACGACCTCTGTGTTCTTCAGGGTCTGAGCTCGGTGAAGCACTCCTCCTCCGTGAAGCCCTTCGCGAATGGTGAGGATCTGGATCCTTCGTGGAGGCGGCCGGGGACGTTCTTTGCGAAGGCTTCGATACGGGCTGGGTTGCCCTTCAAGGAGGCGCGTTTGTGGGCTCTGGGGCCCTACATGACTTATTATGGGTTGGGCTCTGGGCCCGCGGCTCTGAGGCCTCTGTAAACCGTGTCGGTCTTCCATCAACATCATAATCTGGCTGACCAGGTCGTCTGGGACGGTCTGCGCTGGCGTTGAGGCTGCCCTCTCTATGGTAGCGACGGGACCCTCAGTTAGAATCTCACCCGTCAGCGTAGGCATCTCTGGTTGCGTGTTGATCTGCGCTGAAGTGACGGTAGCCGATACTGGACTCTTCTTATGCCGTACATCTGGAATGATAATCGGAATGTCATCATCATATAAACACAATTCTGAAACAGGAAGAATGTCAGATGAAAAGTTTTTTAGTAGCCTTCGTGGGTTTCCCTTTCGACGAAGCTGTAGCCCTGGGGGTGCGGAGCGTATGTTGTGACGACGTGGAAGCTCTCCTAGTCTTAGACTGTGATGATGGAATGTCCTGGGATGCAGGTCGCTTCTTGGATATAGCGGATTGCGTCCCACGCTTCTCCCCCAAAGGTAACTCAGGCAGAACACCAGACGGTAGAGAGTCGTCCGCCAACAGTTGACAGGGTACATCTGACTCTGATCTATCAGCCATGACTGAAGACTGTTTCCGAGATCTATCTGCTGCACGTCTCAAGACGCAATATAAATATTTATCAAAGGCAGAATTAGACAATTCAATACATAAATTGCAGCGTGAAACAATAGAGCATGGCGTTGTACAACTAGGGCATATTAAATGCGGATCGGCAGCAGAGAAACGTAATTTACAAATAGTGCAGATTTTCATTAAAGCAATCTGCTGAGCAACATGGCGGACCGTGAATAAAGCAGCAGAAACACGAATAAATATCAATGCATGTTGAATAAGGATACTAGTTACACCTCTATAGATGAATATAAGAGGTAACAAACTAAATATAAATAAAGGATATAGTGTGCAGGGAGACACAGGTGCTCTCACGTCCTGCTCACTGGGCGAAGAAGGAGAGAGTGAGGCACATGGTGAGAGGTGGCGCCCTCGTTCCCGCGCTTTCGAGGGGAAAGATAACTCGTGGTGAATACTAATTAGTGATTTTACATTGAAGGGAACTTCAATTGGGAGATACAAGTGTTCCACTGTGTTCGCAAGAAGAAGAAGACAAGCAAATAGCATGAGTCAGG